CTACTACGCTGGCTCCAACTGATCCCCCACGGGATGCTAGGTTGTGGTTTTTTCTTTCTTTGCAGACTCAGACTTTGTTGTCAGTTTTTGTTCTCTTTTTCTTTTAGATTGTACACTTGGAACTATGGTTTGCTTTATCTATCATCCAGTATCTGTTTTGATGTTTTAGCTTTGTGCTCTTTGGACCGGTCTCCTTCCAGTCTCCTGTTTATGATTGGTATACTCTCCAGTTGCCGCCTCTAGTCGTCATTTCCCGATAACATTGTTCCCTTTCTCCTTCCCTATGCTCCATTAAGGGCAATGTTGAACCTAGGTGTGTGGGGATGCTTTGTGCTTATCAAGAATGTGTTTGTGTGCTTGGAGCCTAGTCCAGTGTCCAAATCTCCAGATTTGAGGGCTCAAAGTATAGATGTTTGCATGATCATATTGGCGTTGTGGTTTTGTGTGGTGAATCGATTGGCTGTTAGCATTGATGCATGATAACTTGTTTGTGTCTAGGAGGACCTATAATGATGACTGAGACATGCAGTAGAGTTGTGTAGGGGTTCAGTCTTTCGCCGTTTGCTTACCAACTCCGACTTGGATTGATCGCTCGTTTTTACAGTCGTTTATGCATATAGTCCAGGGAATCAGAATGAGAGATAGAGCATATTGGTAGCTATGTGAGATTTGAGCCTGCTCGTTTCTTACTTGTGTGATAGATCCCTCTTTCATGATTTTTAGCATTCATGTTACCACTAATTAGGATGATGGAGGCATATGATTAACCCATGTCTAAACTGACTGTATTGGTGTTTCATAACCCTTAGTTAGCCCCTTTGAGCCGTGTAACTTTCTTTCTTTGTGTCTACGATGAAAAATTACCCTTTTACCCTCTTTCGTGATGTGTAGCATTCATGTTACCACTAATTAGGATGATGGAGGCATAGGATTGACCCATGTCTAAACTGACTGTCTTGGTGTTTCATAACCCTTAGTCAGCCCCTTTGAGCCCTATAACTTTCTTTCTTTATGTCTACGATGAAAAATTACCCTTTTACCCTTTTGCATCTGTTTGAGGTTCTAGAGAGTGGATTTGCATGTTTTCTATTGGAAATAAAGTGAGTGTTGGAGGAAGTTCTTAAACTTGGGCATGTGCTTGGAAAGATAAAGAATGTGGCAAAAGTTGAGGTTGTCTAAATGAAAAGAAGAGAAAAGAAACAAATGAAAACAAAAAAGAGCCGCCACAAAATTTTAATCATGCTAATTAAATAGTGTTTTTAGCAGTTGGATTGGAAATACTAACATGTTGAACCTATGTCACTCTTATGCTCTAAAGAACTTGATTAATGCAGATTAGCAGAGAGAAAGTAATTGATTCAAATGAATGTTTTGGGTTTTGGAATAGTGAAACCTTGTGCCATGAATTTTTTCACCACCTAAAAAGTCTTTTCCCCATGTCCAAGACCCTAGCCAGTTATCTGAATCCGTGTCTAAGAACTCCAAACATTAGTGGTGATACCCGATATGTGAACTCTAACATTTAGAGGCTGCCCTCATGGTGAAGAGACGATAGGGATTGAAAATATGAGAATGCACATATTTTGCATCAAATTGTGTCATGACCCCACTAGTTGAGAGTGAGTGATTCAATTTTCATATTATATACTCTGGTAAGGACCTAGATTGCTCAGTCTTAATTCTGGTGTCTTGAGTTCTATGCATATGTGACTGTTTTGAATGAGTGGTTGAGTTGAGTCTATGTTGGTTGGTGGGCAAAGGGGAGACTCTTCTCCTACCCGATTATTTTGCACTCGAATGTCATATGTGGTGGTTATCAAAGTTCTTGTTGCTGTTGTTCATGTGTTGATGTCTAAAAGCTTGTATAATTCATGTGTTTTGTGCCTATACGATATGTCCCCAAAGTTTGCATTGTTAAAATGTTTTGAGCTTACCTTGTGCCTGACTTGGTTTGCTTGGGGACATGCAAACATTTAAGTGTGGGGGAATTTGATAGCATCATATTTGCACATGTTTGCACCATCTTGATCGTTTTGGCTCAAGTTCGTGCTTTCTTGCCCTATTTTACGATAGGTTGTGCTCGTATAACCCATTTCAAGTCCTAGCAGGTAGAAGGAGGCTTAGGAGCATGTTTCGGGTCATTTGTGATATGATCCAAATCCGAAGAAAACACTCGAACTCGGATGATATAACCAAAGTACGCAGCTTCAAAGATCTTTTTATAATTTTCTGGATGTCGCCTTTCTTGAACTCGAAAATAAAGGATATGATGGAATCAATCGGACAATCCCAACTCATGACAAAGGGCAATTGGTATATTTAACCAATCGGACAGAAACAACTAGTGGAAAGTGGCAATTAATATATGGTAGATGCTCGCCCCAACTAGACTCGTTCTCTAGTTGATAAGAAATACGTGAAACTCTTGGAGACTCTCGACAGAAGCTTGCACAAAACGTTACTATAGAACTCGAGTAAAACTCTTGAATTGATTTCTAAATATTGGGTACCAAATTCGTAGCTCTTACACCCTCTATTTATAGAGGTCTCATAAACATAAAACTAACCTAAAATGAATAGGAAAACAAATCCCAAACTAACTAGGTAACTTAATTAATACTACTTAAATAAGGATTAAAACTATTAATGAAACTCCTACAAACCAAAATAAATAATTAAACAATTATCTACAAAGTAACTATTGGTGTCAATAGGGCGGGTTCGGGCAGGTTCGGGCTGGGTTCAATCAGGTTCGGGTTCAAACAAGTTGCGGGTTCATCGGGTTCGGGTTCAAATGGGTTGAGGGTTCCTCGGGTTCGAGATCAATCGGGTTGCGGGAAAATCGGGTTGCAGGTTCATCGGGTTTTGGGTCGTGCGGGTTGCGGGTTGTTCGGGTCAGCGCATCGAGTAACTTACTCATTACTGGTTACCAACTTACACATTTTATTATACATTTAAAATATTTTTCTCAACTTTTTAACCAATTTCTGTCTACCTCGTATATATATACTTAATTAAAAAAACTAGTCAAAATGTTGAATCAATTTGTATGGCCTGCAAACTTGTTATGTAATTAATCATAATTGGTAAAGTACACTAGCTAATAGTAATGGTGATATCAACATTCGCAACCAAAAGACACCATTAATTGTTTATTTGATATTTTAGTATTATTTCAGTAGTAATTGTATTAAAGTATCTCGTTTAGTATAACTATGCAAATCTAGTATTTGGTGTGTGGTATTTGGCAAAAGCAGAGTGCTAAAAGGAGTTATTTCGAAATAACTCATTGCCAAAATAACTTCAGTAAACTGTTTCCAAACAAGTTATTTGTAAAATTGTTCGAATTATCCTAAAAATTGAACCATTAAAAATTAACTATCAAATTTAGTAAAATTGTTGTGACTTTACTCATAACTTACTCAATAACATATATCCTATACACTTAGCTTTACCCTCAATCGACAATATTAAGTTAGTGTATGTTGTTGATCATATATTCTAAACCATTAATACATTATACACTAACCACATACCCTATACCCTAACCATATATCCTTATGAGTTATGATTTTGCTAGTATAGCTAATTTAAATGTGAAATTCATACTTTGATTTTCAAAACACAGTTGAAAAAGTGATATTTGCTAATTGCTATACCCTAACCATATATCATATACTCTACACCATATACCCTGTACCCTAACCACGTACCATAAACATAAATTAAAAAGGGATCTCCTGCCGTTAAAGACTTTAAATGACTTCAAGTGAAAATATGTTAATAAAAAACTTGATACCGTCAAAATCATCAATACCTTATACCCCAACTATATACACCATAAACCATCTGTAACTTATACCCTATACCCTAACCATATACTTTATACCCTAAACAACGAATTGTCAAAGATTACTTATCAAGTTTAGTATAATTGTTGGTTCATATTAACCCGCCCATAAATTTTCCATTCCAAAGTTCCCACCCAAACCTCCCTCTCATTTCCCATTACAAAGTGACAAGCAAGGCTGCAACCCGATTAACCAAAATTTTCAAACTCGCAACTTGACTGATTTATTGCAATCGTATGACTTAACATGGCAAGTTTAACTCCCATTTTAAAATAAAAGTTCAACACGAACACAACTTAAATGTGCCAAAATTTTACTAAGTGTTGTAAAACAACGATTATGTAGTGTTGAAGTTGCAATAAATGTAGAAGCATAGAAAATATGTAGACAAATTAAGTGATATGTAAAACAAACGATTGTTGTAACTAATGGTTAATTTATTTATTAGCCCATAAACAATTACATATATATTATCTTTCAAAGTATATAAGAATAAATTTAACTAGTCATGCCCTCCATATAAAAATTAAAGATTCATATTTCAAAGGCTAAAATTTCGAAAAACCAAAAAGTTGAAAACATCAAATTTGTTTCCTTCTTTCTTTTTTACAAAAAAAAAATAAATTAAAATACTAAAATTTTCCTCGTTTCTCCTTCCATAAATTAGAAACACTCAATTTTCCCTCTTCTTTCTCTTCCATAAAATTGAAAGAACCAAATTTCTCTGCTCTTTCTCTTCCATAAAATTGAAGAACCAAATTTCCCTCTTTCATCTTTCCTTACACAAAAAGTTGAAAATTCAAAATTCCCCTCATTATTTCTCTTTCATAATCAAAGAACCAAACTTTCCCACTTCTTTCTCTTCCCACAAATCAAAACCACCAAAATTTCCCCTTGTTTCTTTTCTCAAAAATTCAAATAACCAAATTTTCTACTTCTTTCTCTTCCCAAAAAATTGAATACACCAAAATTTTTCTTTTATTTCTCTTCCCAAAAAGTTGAATACACCAAAATTTCTCTCTTCTTTTAAAAGCATCAAATTACTAAATATATTACTTTACTTTATTCGTAGGTAATTGATAATTTTATTGAATAGTTAAATTAACCAAAATTTTAATTTATATATTATATTAATATTGTCCATGATCTCAATTATTAATTCTTCATTATTAATATTGACATTGTGTTGATTTTATGTTTTATATTTAATTTTTTAATTTTGTTAAAGAACTTATTGTTCAACTGACTTTCATGTTTCAATTTTTGTAATTTTCTTAAAATACATAATATCACGTGAGTTTCATATTTTTTTAAATCCCATATACGAAATGAAAAATAAATTTTACCTAAGTTTTGAATGAAAAACTTTATTTTGAAAAACTATGTATTGTATAATATAATAATTATTCAAGTGGATTAGGTGAAGTTCGGGTTGAGTCGGTCGGGTTATGGGTTAGTCGGGCTCGAATCAATCGGGTTTGGATTTAATCAAATTGCGGGTCAATCGGGTTCGGGTTAACCGGGTAGCGAGTTAGTCGGGTTTCGTGTTAGTTGGGTTGCGGGTCGGGCGGGTTGCAGGTTGTTGACTTTTAGTCAATTCGGGTTGTGGTCGGGTTGCGGGTTGCTAACTTTCAAAAAGTTAGAAGCAGGTGAACTTAAGACCTCTAAGCTTAGCATCACCTTAGCCGCCGTTCGGTCATTAGCTCGAAGGGTGTTGTGGAGGACATGATGGTGAGAGTGGGCATGTTTTGCTATCCGACCAATTTCGCTAGTCTCGACATAAGTGAGGACTCGGATATGCCACTCATCCTCGATCGTTCCTTTCTTGCCACCGCCAAGGCATTGATAGACGTTAATAAGAGGACCTTAATTCTAAGGGATGGTAAGGAGAGAATCAAGCTTGAAATTGACCCTAAGGTTAGGAGTGATGAAGTGACGGAAGTGGTTTCAAATGATGTGAATGAGAGTGGAGGAGAGCCTCTCAAGGCAAACCCCACCATTCCTTGTGCTGCTTTTGGTAATGTGGTGCAGGAAATGAAGGAAGGTACTATGCCCAAGGAGAAGAGGAAGAATGCTTGGAGGAAAAAGATGAAAGAAGCTTTGGTCCGAAGGAAGGAGAAGGCCAAAGAGAAGTTGGCCTATCAAGAAGGCCAACTCATGGAGCCTAAGACGGGATACTACAAGCCTCGCCCTGAGAGTGTGGTGGATCCACTCTCAGAGGCATCATGATCCAAGTCGTGATCGATCCCCAACCGTCAAGGTAATGACGAAAAATTAGCGCTTGTTGGGAGGCAACCCAACGAAGGTTTATTTTCTTTTCCTTATTTTCATTTTTATGTCGAGTGAAGATTTCGAGTTGTGAAGTGGTGTCCCTGTGCCAAGTTTTGTGGTTTTGTTGATTTACGGTTTTGTTGTGATCGATTAGGAGGCACGAGGGAATAGGTTGAGTCAAATTTTTCTCAGAAGTGTCCTGTTTTCTCTGGTGTTCACGAACGGATTGCTGCGTTCACGGTCTTACAAGACCAAACAGGCAAACGTGTCCGTGAACTAGACACTTCTGCATGATCATCACCTGTCGCGACTAGCCCCACTTCACGGACGCATTTAAGTGTTCACGGTCGCTAAGACCGTAAACAAGGCAACGCGTCCGTGAACTCCGAGTTGTGCCTATAAAAGGGGCTTGAACGTCGACTATTCACTTCACGACCAAATCTCGCCGGAAATTTTCAAATCTTCACAGGAAAACAGCGAAACTTCGCCAGTTTTTCTAAATTTCCTCCATTTCCGGCGAGCAAAACCCAAAACAAATGTCATACCCATTCTCCCCTCATCAAAACCGACTTGTGCTGAAATTTTGGGGAGATTTGGGCCAAGTTTTTTCCGGTCAAGTTGCCGCTGGCAAGCTTCTGCCGAGTCTTCGACGAAGCTCCGGCGACACCTCTTCGGACAGTTTTTCAGCAATTTTTCACCTTCCTCGCCCACACCTCACTTCCTCCTACGTCCTACTTGCGTCTCCAGGTTGGTTTTTCAGCTTTGCCTTATTAATTTGTGGAGAATCGTATTAGGTAATGGAGTGAGGATGATTTTTGTGCTTTGCATGTTGAACCTAGATTTAGGGCGAGGAATTGGGTGAATTAGGTTGCCTCTATTTTTAGAATTTGCCCACCAAGTGCTATGTTATGAATGCAAGTGGAGTTTTATGCTTGATTGGTGGATGGTAGCCACCGTGGTTTGGATTGTGGTTCAATTTTTTGTGTGCTTGAACCGTGAATTACCCACAACCATGCCACGGTGGTTTGAGCTTAAATGTTTGATAACCATGGCAGAAAAACAAGTGTGGGGGGAATCTCTTTTCCTCACAATGAGCACTAATTGATGAATTTTTCCACGTATGGTGTATGTTTCTCAGTTTGTGCAGGATGGTTAACATGGATCACCCATACCTTGTGGCGCTAAGGAGTAGCCCTGAAATGGAGAGAGAGGCGTGTTTTTTGGCATCTTCGAGAGTCGGTAACCATTGGAAACTCGAATTTGCCTAGTTCGACATGATTCATTGCGGTGATGTTATGAGGGAGGCAGTGGTGTACCCACAATGGCGCCAAGCCCTTGATCTTGAAGATGACACTTACGGGGAACTATGCGTAAAATTTTTGAGCACCTTCACCATACGCAAGAGCCTTTGCCTACTCAATCATCCAGTACGCTGGGTCGAGTTCCGATTGGGAGGGAAACTTTGCAATTTGAGCTATGACGAGTTAGCCAGAGCCCTCGGAGTGGAAGCCAAACATGAGGAAGATTGGGAGGGAAGTTGCTATCCAAAGTTTTGACGTGAATGCCGCATTTTTGAAGTTTTGTCTTCCAAAGTACCGAAGGAAAAAGTTTAAGTCAGCCCTCACAGCGGCATCCACACTACAGCCCAGTGGCGTGTCATCGTTGCACTCCTGGCTCGTTCCCTCTACCCGGCTTACCACAACCCGAACAAGATAACCGAGAGAATCTTATTGGCTTGTTCTTGCATGGTGGACCTGTCTAGCCACTTCTTTTTCCAGGGCCAATGGGGGAAACCGTTGTCATGTCACATCAATGGGTCCGTACATCATCCTCCTTGCTTGATACTTCGATATCAGCCTTGCAGGGTGCTCGAAAGAGAGGCGCACCCAAAGATTTGACGAGGGCACTTTGCAGTCCATGCGCTTATTGTGCACCTTTGGCCTAATGCAGTACATCGAAGGATTGAGTCCTGACCCCGAGGTCCCACCACCAGCAGAGCAGCCACCTGCTCGTGCACCCGGACCCCGCCAGCGTCCAGCGCTCCAGCGCCTAGCACAGCCACCACCACCAGCAACAGGTGATCCCCTCGTCCAGAGGGTGGATCGCCTTGAGACGAACTTCGTGGGATTCTCTTCCCGCCTGGACCGGCAGAGTGACATCCTTGAGCTTATCCCTCGACGTCACGGCATCCTCCCAGATGAGGCCGCGATCCCTCTACCAGCGAGAGGTAGCCGACGAGTGAAACATGTGGCAGAGCCGAATCCTTTCGCCCCAGTTCTCCACTTGTTACCTTGAACTTGTTTTTTTTTTGTTTTTGTTATTTTTCTTCATTTTGTGTGTGTGACATAAACCACTACTATCGTATTGTGTTTGTAATAACCTCGCCTTGAGCGAGTCGTATTGTACTTGTGTGTGTTTTTTTTGTCTCTCCTTGAAGCTCAAAATATCCTATCCCGGATTCTATTCCAACTTTCACTCATCAAGCCCAAGGGGTAACATCATTCTACCCCTTTCTTACGCCATTGAGGGCAATGTCAAGTTTAAGTGTGGGGGGTAGTTTACTATTATGCTTGTGTGATCATGATGGATGCTTGGAGCCTTGATATATGCCCAAATTTCAAAAATTTGAGGGCTCGAAGCAATGTTTGCATGATCAAAGTGGCCGGTGTGTGGGAAATTCTCGTGTTTATTGGAATTGATCTTGAATTGTTGCATGTGATCGAGTATATCCTATGATGATGATTGAGAGGTTCATTAGGATAGTGTAAAAGTGTGCATAAATGAATGGATGTCTTGACTCGATTACTTGTTGATTACAATTTCCATGCATTATGTTTGTGAATTGGAATAGATGGTTGGGTGACTAGGTAGCCATGTGAGCTTTGAGCCGATTGTTTTCTTCTTCTGTGCTTAGATCCCTCTTACCATGGCGAGTAACATCATAGTTTTCACTATTGAGTATGATGGAGGCATAGGATTAGTCCACGCCCAAATGTTGATTCTCCCGAAATGTGCTATCCACTAGTCAACCCCTTTGAGCCTTGTGACTTCGAGGGTCATTCTTAAGTTAGGAGCTTCGTGCTTGTGAGCTTAATGGTGTTGATAAAACGACCCCCAATCCTTTCTTTGTGTCTAAACATGAGTCGTCCTTTTGTTTCAGAGCTCTCACCTTTGAGTTTCCATAGAGGTTCTACATAGGAGGTTTGTGTGTGGTTCTTGCTAGGAATGAGAAAATGGAGTGTAGTGTTGGAGTGAGTTCTTCAAAAAGAGAGCATTGGTCGTTAAATGTATAGATGGCAAGTGTTTTTACTCTCTAGTAGCCCCCTCAAAAAGAAAAGAAAAGAGAAACGAAAAAGAGGTAATAAAATGGGGTAAATAAAATAGAGAGTGCCACGAAAAACCAAAGTACATGCTCTAAGATGGATTTCTTGGCACCCAAGCCATTGAAACCCCCATATTGTTTTAGAACTCCTTCACTACCAAACCTTAATGTGCTAGCAAGAGTTGACCGAGGAAGAGTGCTTTGATGTAGTTCACGATGTGTGATAGTTTGGAAAGGAGAGATAAGGTTTTTGGCAGATGCTAGTGGCCTTGGGTTGAAGATAAGGGGTTAGTCAAAACCATAGAACCTTCGGGTTTAGGTTGAAGATGTAGAACCTCACGTCATGATTGCCACCACCCAAAAAGCCCTTTTCCCATGTCCAAGACAATCGCCAGTCATCTGAACCCGTGTCTAAGACCTTCGGATAAGCTAGTGGTGACAACCATCCCATGAAATCTAGCATTTAGAGGTTACCGCCGTGGTATTGAGACGATAGGGCCGAGAGTTTATGATTGTGCACATCTTTTGCACCCAAAAGGTCCCGACCACATTGGTCTTGAGAGTGAGTGATTCATCCTTGCTTTGCATGCCATATCATACCCCGGTGAGGACCTTTGTTGCCTTTCCATTTGTTCCTCGGACTTGAATTCTATGCATGGTTGGTTGTGGTTGATAAGTGGTCTTGTTGAGACTTGCATTGATCCATGAACAAGGTTATAACTTTTTGTTTGCCCGTTTTTGGTGGCTTCGAATGTCGTTTGTGGTGGATGTCGTTATTGATTCGAGCCTAAATGTACATGTTTTGCCCCCATTTTCCTTAGCCGTTTGTGGAAAATTTGCTCCTAAAAGTTTGGTTTTACGTTAGTTTCTCGTGTTTTAGTGTGTTTCAGGATTTAACAGGTGAAACCAGCCTCGGAGTCGAAAGTTGGACGAAAAGGATCGAAAACCAGGAGAAGAGGTGAAAAAGGGCGAGATCACGGTTTTCTTGGGCTGTTCACGGTCTTACATGATCGTGAAGAAGAGCCATTGGCCGTGAACCTTGAGGCGTCCAGAGCCAAAATGCAAGTTACTGACACAAGACGTGTTCACGGTCACTAAGACCGTGAATATGAGCTGTGGACCGTGAACACAAGGGAGCAAAGTGGTGCGTTTCGACGCCCAATTGGAGTTCACGGACGCGTTTCAGTGTTCACGGTCGTGAACTAGAGCCGTGAACACAGCCCGTTCCCTATTTAAAAGCTGAGCTAAAAGGAAGAGAGAGTGGAGAGCCCATTTGAGTGGGAAAGCCTTCTTCTGATTTCTAGAGAGAGAAACACGAACCAAAGAAGAAGGAGGCTAGGGTTTTGCTCCAAGGTGGATTTTGGGAAGATATCCTCCAAGGAAAGTTCAACACAAGGGCCAAGAAGATTGGAAGCCTCCTCCAAGATGGTTTCTACCCCTTCTCCTTGTGTTTCTCCCATTTATAGCATGGAGTATAACTCTTTTCACTAGGGTGTTGTGAAACCCTAACTCTACCATGTATACTGCGATTACACTTGGTCATAGTTTGGTGTTGTGTTTTAGCGAGGCAGTTGCCCAAGCTTGTGCACACCTTTGCCTCGTGCCACTTGAAGGAAGAAAGGAAGTTGACGTGCAGATCAATGAAAAACATGTGGAGCAAGACGAACCCATCCCAGAGAACTCTCTTGGAGAGTATGACCATAAGTGTTGCATTGATAACTTTCACGTCTTTCTCCTTCCCGAGAACAACTTTGAAGACCAAGTCTCGAGGGTGGTGGAGATATATGAACTTACCTAAAACATAGCTTGGCAACTTGCTACACGACATGTGCTTGAGGAATAGTGAGAAAGGTTGAGAGAAAGGGTTGAGGAAGAGAAAGATCTTGATTGTTCCCAAGAGGAGGAAGATCTTGATTGTTCCCATGAGGAGGAAAAAAGTTTGGAAGAAGGAAGGTAGGTTGAGGTTGAAGATGCAACTGGTTTCCAAGATGAGGACGAGGTTATGGTGGATGAAGCTTCTACAAGTTACAAGTGTTACTAGAGCTTTCCACCCAACCTTGATGCTCTTCTTGAAAAAGACCCGTTTGTGGCTCTTTGCCAAGCCTAGGCCAAACCATCATATTGATCCCTCTTGGTGGATTCGATGGTGGTCAATCGATGATGTCCTACATGGTATGTTGTAAAGAGAAGAATACAGAAGGAATGAAGAAAAAGTATTGTGACTTGATCATTCAAGTTCACGAGCCCTTAATCATGGACTCGTCCAAAGCTCGTGACTTGAGACAACACCTCATCGACGAGAACCTCAACTTCAAGGAGGTTTTGGGGTGGATCCAAGCTTAGGAGCCACGTCCGCTTACGAAGTTAAAAGAATTGTTTGTTGGGAGGCAACCAAACCACTACGGTTTTCTTTTGTTTTCCTTTCAATAAGACAACCTTTGGGAGCTTTTGGTGTGTGGATATTGCTTGGCTCTTCTGAATGTCACCCAACCTCCGATCCCATCCACCAACATTCACACCCTATCCAGTAACATTGTTCTACCTCCTTATTTTACGCCATTGTGGGGAATGATGAGATTAAGTGTGTGTGTGTGGGGGGGGGGGGTATTCTATTATACTTGTGCATCTGAATGATTGGTGTGATTTTGAGTGCTTAGAGCCTAGTTGAATGCCCAAAATTTTAAAAATTTGAGGGCGCCAAGTAAAGCAACTTCTACATTTGCATGATCATAGTGACACTTTTGGTGATTTGTTTTGGGTCTCGTGGCTATTAAAATGGATGTATGGATGACTTGTTTGTGATTGAGAACAACCTTTGATGATGACTGAGATATGTAGTAGGATTGTGTAAATGTTCTGTTTCCATCTGTTTGTGAACCAATATGTGTTTTGGATTGATTACTCACTCTTTATAGTAGTTTATGCATCGAGATTGGGAAGTCAGAATGAATGATAGAGCATATAGGTAGCCATGTGAGATTTTTGTCTGCCCATTTCTTTCCTATGTGATAGATCCCCCTACCATGACACGTAACATTCACGTTGCCACTAGTGAGGAAGATGGAGGCATATGATTAGTCCATGACCAAAAAATTGACCGTCCCGATCATATTATCCATTAGGCTACCCTTCTCAGCCGTCTGTCTTGCTTTATTTGTGTGTACGCCATTGTCGAGTCACCTTTGTGTCTTGAAGTTCCCGTTACTTGAGCTTCATTGAGGTTCCACATAGTGATTTTTGCATGGTTTTTGCTAAATGTGAAAGTGAAAGTGATTGTTGGAGGAAGTTCTGAAAAGTGAACATGTGTTCATATTATCCCTTAATCAACCCTTATGAGTCGTATGTCTTGCTTTATTCGTGTCTACGCCATTGTCGAGTAACCCTTGTGTCTTGAAGTTCCCGTTACTTGAGCTTCATTGAGGTTCCACATAGTGATTCTTGCATAGTTTTTGCTAAACGTGAAAGTGAAAGTGAGTGTTGGAAAAAGCTCTTAAAAATGAGCATGTGTTCATAAAGTTCAAGAATGTGGCATGTGTTTTTAGCTCTCAACTAGCCCTCATCAAGTGAAAGAAAACTAGAAAAGAAAAAAGCAATAAAGCAATAAAGTGGGCAAAGAGGAAAAGAGAGTTGTCACCAAAGTTGTTTATGCTCTAAAAGAGTGTTTCTGGACTGTCAAGCTTAGAGGCATCTTACACGATTTGTTACCTCCTTCACTCTTTCCCTTAAAAGGTTTGATAGCAGTTGTAGCAAAGAAAGTATGTTGTGTATGGTTGTTCGCGAGTGGAAAATATGGTTAGTGGTTGTTGTGAGTGGTCTTTGGTTATTCTCTGTGGTTCTAGGTTGATGAAATTGTGGAAGCTCATGCTATATGTGCCACCACCCAAAAAGCATGTTCCCACGTGTCCTAGACCCTAGCCAGTCATTTGAGTCCGTGTCAAGACCTCGGATAATCTAGTGGTGACACCCATCATCCGTACTCTAGCATTTAGAGGTTGTTATCATGGTGAAGAGAAGATAGGGCTAAGCGTATGATTACGCACATCTTTTGCTTCCAATTGGTCCTGACCCCACTAGATAAGAGTGAGTGATTCTTTCTTCATATTATCATGTACCCCGGTGAGGAACTAGATTGCTCGGTCATTTATTTGATGACTTGATCTTTATGCATGGATGAACGTGACTAGTGAGTCGTTTAGATAGGTTGTGTATTGGTCTGTGAACAAGGTGAGTACTCTTCCTTTACATGATTTTACTGCGTTCAAATACCATTTGTGATGGTTGTGAGGATTGTTGTTGTTGTTGTCCATATGTTGGTGCCAAATAGCCATTGTGATTCACTTGTTTTGTACCTTTATGACATGCCTCCAAAATTTTCAAGGAAGAGGTTGTAAGCTTACCTGGTGTCTTACTTAGTTTGCTTGGGGACAAGCAAAAATTTAAGTGTGTGGGGTTTGATTCATAAGAATTTATACATGTTTTACCCCCTTCATACTATGATTGTATGACTTGGTAATCGTAGTCCCTCTACCTATTTTATGCTAGGTTGTGCTTCTTTTGTCACATTTTAGGTCCTAGCATGTGTGGGAAGGTCGCGAATGAGTTTCAGGACATTCGGAGGCTTGATTTCAAATTTGTTGGCAGACACGGGTGGATGTAAGATGGGAGATTGGATATCCGCCGCCCGTGGAGCCATGTAATATCCCATAGTCCTTGGCTCTACCTCGGCTCGTGCTTCCACATTTGGGATTGGAAGCGGATTAGCCCCTCGATGTTGATTCCCCTCCATCTCAACCTCAACTTCTCCTTCAATTCCTTCAAATGCAGGACCAATTTGTTGTCACCTCTCTTCAATTCTCCTTCTTGCCTCCGCTTGCTCCCTCTCTTGAGCTAGAATTCGGAGAGTCCTGTTGATGTACTCGTCCAGTGGTGTTAAAGGCCTCGGATTGCTCTGGGTGATACGCCTCCTTACACACACTTAAAGAACACAACACGTTTAGCACAAGCAAACTTCACAACTTAACAAAACAGAAATTAAAAGCTAGATTAACACCAAACAAACTTTTCACGATAACAGAAAGAAGTTCCCTAACAACGGTGCCAAAAACTTGACTTGCTCTGACTATCACAATAAAATCCCACCTAAGGCTCAAGTATAAACCTTAGATGGGTGCAATATGGGGCAAGTATGTCTAAATATCGACCCAGGCCCGCCCATGTACCGCTACTTCGATTGTTTGAAATATTATCTAGCGGATAGTTTTGGTTAAAATGAAGTTCTAAAACTAAAGTACTTTGCAAAGATGAAATGGTTTTGACACTAATTGAGAAGGCTTCACTTGGGTGTTGCTCCCCCTAGCTAACAATTATGACTTGAAGGATCGAATGAACGTGTGTGGTTAGGGGGTTATAAACCATAGGGAAGTCTAACAAGTAGCCAAAGCTACCCTCTTAGTCTATAGGTCGAGGAAATGGGATACGATCCAAGCGACTAATGCGACCCTCTAAACCTATTGACTAAGGAATGGTTGTCAAACAAGTAGCCAAAGCTACCCTCTTAGTCACTAGGTTGAGGAAATGGGATACAATCCAAGCCACTAATGCGGCCCTCTCAACCTATTACTATGGAATGGTTAGACTTCACCCTCGAATTGGAGTTCGGATGAGCACCCACAACCAAACCCTAAGTGCTAATACGAAATAGGAGGTGTGCCCTACAATAACCTAACTAGTAGGCAACGAATTAGGAGGTTTGCCCTGCAGTAACCTAACTAGGTCTCTCCCTTTCTTCTTCCTTTCATCTGGCTCTTTATACTGAGATCGAGCCCAGTTCACAGCCTGAGTTCACGACGGTGAACATCAAAACGCGTATGTGAACACAATGTGCTGAACCAAAATGCACTGCTTCACTTCTTGGGTTCACGGTTTGTGGTTACAGTTCACGACCTTAGCTACCGTGAACAGCCTTGGTGTCAGTAACCTCAAAACCTTCTCTGGATGCTCCTTGGTTCACGGATTGTGGTTCCAGTTCACGGTCTTGGAGACCCTGAAATCCAATGGCATGCCGTGAACACAGGTTGTCTCCTCCTCTTTGCCCGGTCTTTGCTCCTTTTCTTCCAAATTTCGACTCCGGGGTTGGTTTCACCTGTGAGGAACTGAAACACACTGAAACACAAGAAACCTAGCATAAAACCACCCCTTTTGGAGCTCAATTGCAACAAACCTCAAAGAGAAACGGGGATAAAAAGTGTACAATTAGGCTCTAATCAAGAGGTTCGGTTGCCTCGACCACCATAGGTCCCTATTCATACATCTACCTCGATTTGCTTAATGGCGCATACCCATCTTACCCCAGAACTCAATACTCAGCGTAAAGTAGGCTAATAGAGAAGATTAAGGTGACTTAACCAAACACAATCAAAGATAGAATAGCAATAGAATCAACTAGATAAACACATTCATTCATTCAAACTTAAAATATCCATACATACATAGTAAACCCCAAAACTAAGGTTTGGGGTTTAGAACCCCTAGTACCTAAGAGGACTACTCCATAAAAGGGGGAAGAAGATACATATAAGAAATTGAAGAAGACTCGAGGTTGAGAAAGATGCCTCCTCTGTTCTAGTTCCTTCTCATTCTTCTCATCTTCTCCTTCCTTCAGCTTTTCTCTCTTTTCACTCTCTAAAACTAGAAATTCTTTTATCAAAATCAACTCCTCTAAAAGGGGGAAAGGGGTCTCCTATATATAGCCAATGAGAGGGCGGACAAGTTCGCATCCAGAAGGGCAGAGATTATGTGCGGGATCTTCAGCAGAGAGTCCGCGATCTTGAAACACAGTCGTACTGGCCTTCGGAATTTAGGAGATCGCAGGCTAACTTCGCGGTCACGATCCCCGAGTCGTGGACACGATCTTCCTTGCAGTGAAAATGCACTGTGACCGTGATTCGATCGGGGAATCTCTTTGTTTCTCCTTGGTTCCTTCTTCGCGAAGTTCGCTCCCTGAGCCATCCATTTCACGGACGCAATCTTGGGCTTCCAGGCCACGATCTTCAGCTTGACTTTGTGATCCAGGATCTTGGCCTTGATCTTTACTTCTAGGCTACGATCTTTAGTCTTCTGCCCCCTTGCTACACTTGCGACCTTGTTTTGTACCTAATTCGCATATATCGTCTAACACACCCTAAAATCACATCGAATTCAAATAGGAATGGAATAGGGATG